CAAGGAAATCTTTGCTTTTCTCCTGTGCAGGAGGCAAAGAGGAAAAAATTAATATTGTTTTTTTATCCAAAGAGCAGAATTATTCAAACACAGACGTGCTTCAGGAGACAGAGCTTGCAGGAACAGATGAAAGGAGCTGCAGAGCACTCAGAGGATGAGAGGCCACCTTTGCTACCCCATCTCTGGGGGTTCCTGCTGCCAATTCTGCTTAATTCCAAAGGGTTCATCTCTTTCTGGAATGCCGAGGTACCACTCATTCCCCCTCTGCCAACACACACCGTTTCATTCCACCCTTTCTTCCTCATTCTCCTTTTCCAGGGAGACGCAATTAGGGCTGATCCATCAGAGGGAAAGAGCTGAACCTCACATCACATTGGGGAGCTGGCTGCAGGAAGAAAGCAGATTGTGTGAAAGGCAGCTCTCACCAGGATCCAAAGGATGCTCTCCCACGGCCCACAGAGCGGGATTCGCTCTCCATCCGGACCCAGATTCGCWCTGACACCACCAAGACTTTCAGGCGGCCGCACTTTGTTTACTTAAAAGCTCAGAGGGAGGGAAGATGTCAGAAGCGCTCAGGCAGAGCTGTGAGTGCCCGGTTGGACGTGGCCACACGGCGCTTTGTGCGAGCAAAACCCTCCCGTGGGCTGCCAGCGCCGCGCCGAGCGGCCACCCCAGCGTTTACAGCCCTGAATCATTCATGGCCAGGCAAATGTGAGCACAAGCTGGGAGCTCTTYGAGGGGTGAATGTGCTGCTGCTGTGAACCTGATCGGGCTCTCTTGTATCATGGGAGCTCCAGCTCTCCCAACATCGCTGCTTGTCCCCTGAGCCGAGCCCTTTGTCCCCTCCTTGTCCCAGCAGSAAACCCCAATGTCTCCGTTAAGCTCAAATTCCTATGACACACCTGAATGACTTCATTTGACTTATTTCATTTAAACTTTATTTATTTCTCCTTTCTTCAGGCTGACAGAGGAGGCACAGGACAGCTTTGCTGACRCTGCACAGCTCACACAGATGTGACCCCATCCTTCCAAACATCCCTCATCCTGAGCTCTTTGTCCCCTCCCTGTCCCAGGAGGTGGAAGCCAAAGAGTCTCCCTTAAATTCAGATTTCCATGACACACCTGAATGACTTCATGGGAGCCATTTCAAATTTTTCCTTCTTTCTTTCTTCCTTTCTTTCTTTTCTTTTTCTTTCTTTCTTTCTTTCTTTCTTTCTTTCTTTCTTTCTTTCTTTCTTTCTTTCTTTCTTTCTTTCTTTCTTTCTTTCTTTCTTTCTTTCTTT